TATGAATTCCGAGAAATGGGACATAACGGTGTGGTATAGGATTACACGGTATCCACAAGTATTCTGCAGGTCGATGGGTGATCAATCGAATAATTACAACCACCCAAATTTTGGGGTGTCACAGCATGTAAGTCTATCATCAATATTATCATTAGGAGAGAATACAAACACAAAATGTCCTTGTTTTATTAAGTAACATGTCTACATAACCCAAACAAAATAGGATTTACCGCTCATACATACTGAGCGTCTACTGATAAAGTACATGTATACATATATACTTATCTACATAAAATGGTGCACAAAAACGTCCTATGGAGGTCACGGCACAATCAGGTGCACCAAAGTCTCCAGAGTCTGCTAGCAACACTCTAATCTCTCACCTGAAAAAAAAACATAATCTAACGGAATGAGCTTAAAGCTCGGTGAATAGTAAGACACACATAGTAATATTCATTTTGAAAACAGGGAATATAAAATAATTGATAACAAGAAAATATGTATGGCATACAATAGATAATCATAAATAAAACCAATAACTAAAAGCGTTGTGATAATAACGAATTATATTATCTCCTCATAATGGTAAAGACTTGTACGATATCTGGGAGTCATACCAAATGTCAGAAGATCTTAAGGTTGGATCTAACACCGTACTTAGGGTCACCACGGGTTAGATCTTGGGAATTGTTCTCTAAGACAATCCGGTGAAGGTCACCAGGACGCACCAAACACTGTTCTTTCAACCGTTGAGCACTAGGGTCACCTCAGCCTCCCCGGATCTGTTCCCTAGTGGCCAGAGTCACCCGCACACAGAGGAATAATTTTCCTGGACTTTTAGTTTTGGTCTCATTCACCATTACAAAGTCTCACCATATAAACAAGTGATTGAGTCACAATACTTCACAAAAAAAATTATCAAGGTAAGAAGAATCGTATGCCACAAGTATTTAGATACTTAGTAAAATATTTTGTAAAAGTAGTAATGAACAAACATGATGTATTGTTTTAAAAATGTTTAGGAATACAGGGAGTTTTCGAAAATACGTAGTATGTCAACCCACTCATCTCAAGTCGAAATGGTATGTTGCTTGTTCTCCGAAGTAGAGTTAGATGTTATCGATGACTTTCCTCTTTCTCATACAATTTCGTTTTTCTTTTGATGAGGTACTCTTCCTTCCTTCTTCTCTCTTTTACTCTCTATTCTTTCTTGAAAGTGGAAGACTACTTGTGTATTTGTATCCTTAATCCAATTCTCAAATGCCCTATTTATAAGCACCCTAGGATTATTTTAGAGAAGATTTCCTAGAATATTCTACCATCTCCCCTCTCCTTGATCCTTATAGGTTTTAAGCTTATTTTGCACATGGCAATTCCATAAATATCTAGACTTATCTATGATATTCTAAAGTCTTTTCCAACCTTCTAAGTCCTTCTAGAATTTCTGGAATATTTTAAATCCTTCTAGAACCTTCTAGTATTTCCTAGAACTTTCTAAAATATTATAGACTTCTCTAGATTGTTCTAAAACTTTTCGGATTCTTCTAAATCCTTCAAAACTCTCTTTTAAGAATTATTATTATTTATTTATATTGAAGAAACTTTTCAACATAATAGTTAAAGTATAAGAATATTTACAATATAAAACTCTATATTATAACTACTACACACTCAAGGATGGGTCAGGATATTACATTTAACATCAACTTCCTAAGAGAGAGAAATGAGAGATATCTTACAGTGTTACCAGCAGAACTCTCCACCAGCAAAATGCAAGAGAAACCAACGATTAGGTTGCTTGAAGCTCTAACATACACACACAAGCCCAACATTGTTACTTGCTTCATTGTGGACTGAAGAGAGCAATGCAGAATGCAGGTGATGACAGACAGCAATGCCAAATGCAGGTGATGACGAACAGTAAAAAAAAAAAGGTAATGCTATACTTCCCAAATTTTCTTGAAAAATTTATGTAATTATTAATTTACAGAAATATCCCTAAACATTTTATAGGATAAATTTTATCCACGCCTTTTATAAATAGGCATAACCTCAATGACACCCCGTGTAAATAGATTTATCTTTAATAATACTCCCTCCCAATTCTGAAATTTCAATGCACTCCCTTTTAATTCTATTATATTAGCCATTAGGTTCATCAATTTAATATTTAATTTTATCAAATTAATGTCCTTTATTGAATTTAAACTAAATTAACATTCCATCTCATCAAATTGACACAAATTGATATTTAATTTTATCAAATTAACATTTAGTTATACTAATTTAATATTTTATTTCATCAAATTAATGTTATTTCTTTAATTTAGCATTAAATTATTATTTAATTTCATCATTCAACACCAAATTAACATTTAATTTTATTAAATTAAAGTTTAATATATTAAATAGAATATTCTGGATAAGGACTTAGTTTCTGCCCATTTTATGAAATAGTCAACCATCACAAATTTGCATTGGCCCCGACTCATGGATAGGGGGCCTAAGATGTCAATCCCCCACTTAAAGAAAGGTCAAGGGGCTCTTGATGGTAGTGAGTTCTTCGGGTGGTTGTCTTGGCACTGTTGCGAAATGTTGGCATTTGTCTCATTTTTTTACAATTTCACATGCGTCTTTAATTATGTCAGGCCAGTAGTAGCCTGTCTCACCGCTTTGTGAGCTAATGCACACCATCTGGAGTGATTTTCACATATTCCCTTGTGGATTGTTCTCATAGCATAATTGGACACCTCCAAGAAGAAGCAGTAGAGTAGTGGTAGTGAGTAGCTTCTCTTGTAAGAGGTGTCACATCATATTACGTACCTAGACGTTCTCAATCTCAACTTCTTGGCTTCTACTAGATTTTCTCGGAGCTTAAGATCACCTAAATCACTATGTATTAAGCTTAATAGTTCGGTTTCTCTTTCAACCGTTCTAGAAGACATTTTAGTGATTTTAGATTTAACACAAACTTCACATTTATCAACATTCGAATTCAAAAAATTTGAAATAAGACCAAATTTTCTCATTTTCTTGATATAAGTAAAATTCACATGACCTAATCGACCATGCCACATATCAAGAGAGTCGACCACATAGCAAAAGAATTAGACTTATTCTCATTCATAACTTCAACAACATTTAGTGCATAAAGCCCCTTATTACAGTAACATTTCCCAACAAATGTCTCATTCTTGGTCATAATGATCTTATCACTCTCAATTGTTACTTTCACTCCCACCTTATTCAAGACAGATATCGACACCAAGTTTCAATGAATATTAGACACGTGAGACACTTCAGACAATGAAATGATCTTTCTAGAAGTCAACTTTAGTAACACCTTTCCTTTACCCATAATAGACGAAGGTCTAGAGTCACCCATAAACACTTGTCCATCTCCATCCCCCACAAGTGTGTAGAAGGTAAAAACACTTTTATTGCCACAGATATGCTTGTTAACCCCAGAGTCTATCAACCAATCTTTTGTAGTAGCAGCCACGCTAACCTCGGATATGACTACAACAATAATATCATCTGCCTCAACCAAATTGACATTTGGCTTGGTAGGTTTGTCGTTCCCCTTTCAGTGTCGGTATTCTTGAGCATAATGTCCTACCTTTCCACAAACAAAACAATTACCTTTATTCTTAAAACTAGAACCTTGAGCCTTATGGAGATTTTTTCTATTGTGATTCTTTTTTTTATGCTTATATTGAGGCTTATTCATAGTCTCCACAACATTGGTCTAAGAGACATTTTTCTTGGTCTTTTCAATTTTATCCTTCGAATAATTTTTCTCCTCAATCCTAATATGGATAATCACATCTTCCAAAGACACATCCTTCCTTTTATGTTTAAATTGTTCTTGTAAACTTTCCAAGAATCGGATAATTTTTCAATCAAAACACCAGATACGAATGACTCATGCAAAATAATTTTTTTCATTCCTGAACTCATTAATAATCAAATGATATTCATGAATTTGAGAAGACACGTCATTCTCTTCAACCATCTTATAATCTAAGAAATTTTCTATTGTATATTTTTTAATCCCCACATCTTCAACAATATACTTTTTCACCAAACTATCCCAAATCTCTGTAACATGCTTATAATTATAATAAACATCAAACAATTCATTTGATAGAACATTCAAGATAATATTCTGACAAACTTTATCAGCCTTTTTCTCATTTTTCTTTTTCTCTTACATAATTTTATGTATCTTCTTCGGGTTTTAAATCAATCAAAACAAATGCAACACTTGCTATATGAAATAACATCATAATTCTCTGTTGCCATCTCTTAAAAGACCCAATTTTTATCACATCGGGAATGGTCTTGTTTATAATTGTAACATCCATATTAATCTATTCTTAAGATTGTTGTGAAAATATCAAGTTAAAAATGTTACACAAAAAATAAACAAGACAAGAAAATTTATTGATAGAGACGTGTAATCACCATCCTTAAGAATAGATTTTCGTCCTTCTGAATACGAAACCCGATGCAATGGATTATGACATTCTAGCCATTCAACTATCGCTTTTTCACAAGCGTGCGTTCACAAATGTAAAGGTATCTCGAACAACTCTTAATCGTTCCCAAATCAAATCAAATCAAATCAAATCAAAGATATGGCAAAAGCTAGTATTCTTGAATTGATAGCAAAGATATTAAATTGAATAAATTCTTTCCAAAATCCACCGTCCAAACTATAGTTCGTCATTTGCATACTTTCCTCTGTTTTTCTTTTCGACTCAATTTTTTCGTTCATACCAAAGTACAATCTAGCATCACTTTAAATAGCAACACAGACGAAAAGATGCAACTTTTGGATGCAAAGATTTGGGTGCAACTGACCAAATTGGCCATCACCTGGGAAGCATTAAAATAATGTAATTACTTGAAATCCTTTGAAGTCTTGCAACGGATAGAACTCATCCAATCGGCGGCACTCTAAAGAAGAGATAAACGGTATTACCCGGTTGAAATTTTATATTTCAAATTTGTGTAACTAACTCAAACATATATACAAATATATTTCGTACAACTAAATATTTTGAATTTTGAAATAACCATTATAATGTGCAATAACAATTTGGGTGGTGGCATATGCATTGCTTCCAAGCTACATTGCGTCGCAATTTTGGCGGTGGCCTTCAAAGGAGTACGTCTTGCAACAATTCAATCAAACAGTTGCTGGCGTTTTCTGCAAATGTCATGTACCCAAACATTTGGCCCAACTGCAAAGCCGGTTGACTTGACTTGGTAGGGAATATATCGAAAGAGCAGATGAATCTGTCAATATATCTTCAGCACTTGACCATATGTACACCCCTCGCTCTTGCTTGCTCCCTGGGACAGTGTTGTCTAGTACAAATGCTATCAAGAGAGTCATAACCATGTTCAATGACAAAAGCCCGTTTATCGCAAAATCAAGCTGAAAACCATCAAAACAGGAAAAATAGATGTCAGGTCTTCACTATTGTAGAAAATGGGAAACCATGAAAGTATGAATGTTCATAATCAAATAATAGACAAAGAGCTAGCAACAATTTAATAAACTCATCCCTCTTCTAATTACATTTACAAAGACTCCTGTCTTATTTAGATTATCATAATAAGAAAATTGTAGAACATTAATAAGAAGGTTAATATCTTGTAAGAACCGGATTGAACCCAAAATATATTAACTACGTGATTGACTTACTTGTTTATCACCAGTGTGGGTTGGTCCACTCGATGCTGCTGCATAAGGTACCAAATAACTAGGCAGAATCAAGCTGGACTCGGATTGATGCTGCTGAACATATGCAGGTATCGATAAACCAAGGAAGAGTGAAACGCCAACTATTGTTATGTTTCTAAAACTTGCTGTTTGGCTATACTGCAATGTTCGGAGACCTAATGCAACAATTAGAGCCCACACAAAGCAGAGTATGGCGGCAGCCAAAGCCTGTGGTATAGAAGCAAGAATGGCACCCACTTTCCCTATCAAACAAACATGAAGATATTAGTAATTTACCTATGGACAAGAGTACAATTGCCTGCTAGATTTTCCAAGGCTATAGTGACCTTTGGTCCAATGGTACTCCTTACCTTGTCAAGATTTTGCCTTCTTGAGGTCAAAGGTTTAAGTCTCCCCTCCCCTTACCCCAAAAAAAAAAAAAAAGTCACATGAAGTGAACATGACGTATGTGATGTATCCAATCAGGCTGTCTGATTGATCTGAGATGAATCGCATGCATGCCATGTCTGTATATAAAATGGTACCAAGTTATATGTTAATGCATTTCAATCAAAAAATGCATGTAATTTTGAGATGAATCACACATGTGTCATGTATGTTTATAGGTACGCAATTAATTGTACGTATTCATGTACTCAGCTATATATCAATGCATTCCATTCCAATAATGTGTATAATTTTCAGATACTCGGGATGGATTTCTAACTATACTCCACACCAGGGACATGAAAATAAAACCTGTATCCAGTATACAGTAGGCCAGATCAAATTTAGCATTACTGAAATCGAATCTTTAAGAACTGATGCATGTGCACTTTATTCATGTAAACACATTTTTAGTACATGATTCTGTAAGTGTGGGAACATTAGGTCTCAATCCTAGTTTTCTCTGCAAAATATGTCCAAAGTTTATACCTATGAAGGAAGAGAGGATCAGGAAAACTGCTCCGAGTTCCACAGCCCTTCGACTTGCTACCTTCGTTATTTCAATAGTGTGTACATTTTCTGTCAAGGTTGTTGACCCAGTCCCTGAGCCCCAAAGTCCAGCCAGTAAACTAGAAAAACCTTCCAAACCAATTCCTCTACTGACAATACCAGGGGTAGGAGGCTTTGCATTGATTTTCATGGATGCAGAGTGATATGTCCCAACCTGGTAAGGTGCAGATATAACATCAAGTTTAGATCTAACAATCATTCTACTGTAAGTGCTCTAATGCACAAACATAACTATCATTTTAGTATCCTGAAAAACATCTCCTTCAGTTTAAGTGTATTGTGTGCTAACAACATTGCAATTATTAGTCTCCAGAAAACGCATTAATCCGGCTCTGTTAGCAAAATGCTTCCATCGTTTCACAGGAAGTGAGAAGGGACAATATTTCCATCTAACATAAGGATAATGGCTTTGCCCCCCCATACCACAATGAGTCACTTTGTACAAGATAATAGGCTGGCTAATTGCAAATATTCGTAAAGATGAGATTGGCGGATGTACAACTTTGAATCGGAATTTGTTTCCGTGATGGAGCATTTTCTTCTATTGTTTTGTTTGGATTATATATGACTAACCGAGTCCACTGATGCGACCAATGAAACAATGATCATCATGATTGAAGTCCTAAGTCGGAATATAGGAATACCCCACTGCAAAGGGTAGGGAATCCTGACCCATGCGGCGGTTCTTAAAGCATTGGAAACATCAGTCCTGCAATGCTTCATGGTATATGCATGCTGTCTACAAGCATCAGTCAAGATGTTGGAACTGGGTATGTCAGAACTGCAGCCTTTGTAATTATATGCTCCACCAGCTGTCAAGAAGAATGCATACACCCATATAATTACAACACTCATGGGGACCTGAAATGGTTGATAGTGTAGGCAAACACAATTAGAGGACATATATTCAACAAAAAAAATTGTATGTATATGCATTCATAAACTATAGAAACAACTTATAGAAATAGACTCAATTGTTGGGTGTTTCATTCTCTTTTCCCACTGATATTTCTTCTTCTGGGGACATTAGAAAAGTGAGTCAGGTCATTCAAATGGTTTGCTGCCACATTCCAATGTGAGTTTGTACAAGCAAAATAAGTCATGTTTAAAGGATTTTATAGTATGCTCCTTTTACTATGTAGCCTCCTTGCCAGATTTGACCAATTCTAGCACTTCTAGTCCACGACGAATGTTTTGGACTTGATCTCAGGAGTTGCCGTCCAAATGAGAGGGAATTACATCATGAAGACCTTTAATTTTTCCAAAAACCAGAGTACTACAAGTATTACCAGGTATCTATCGTGGCTGGTCTATCACCACTGTTACCCCTGGTTGGGGGGGGGGGGGGGGGGGGGTTTTAAATGTTGGTTAAGCCCTAAAGAATGGACGCGCCACACCACTATGTATTAAGTTGATACTGATGAAAGACAATGCCTGGATCTAGAAATAAGAATTAGATTAATATCCAGCCAAAAGCCAGGAAATATAGAAAAAAAAATTATGCTATGTATTGAATATCCCAAAATCACCAGTGCAAACTTAATTTTTTGGATATACAAAAGATAGTTGGTATCAAGGGCAGTTCTCTTGAAGACTTAGGAATTTCGGCTTCACACCATTTCATTTACTATTGCAGAATAGGTTAAGAGTCTCTGGGTCTTTTAAGCAGGGTGTGGTGGCAGTGCAGGATAAGCTATGACGAAATAAAAGAAGAGTCTACTTTCAAAAGAACCATCAAACTGAAAGGTCAAATATACATACCGCCTGAATTTGAAAAACTCGATGTCCAAATACAGATATCCCTCGGAGGTACTAGAAAAATGCACAAAATTGACAGTTATTCTGACATGTAATGGCACAAATAAAGAAAATCAAGCCTCAAGCACCTAAAAGAGCTTTGAAACATCTGAAGTAGAACAACCTAAACTCTAAACCCCACAGGAACATAGGCCTGTCAATTTTCGACACAACACATTAATACGATATGAACCGAACACGAAATTAATGGGTTGAACACAAAATTAAACGAATTAATGGGTTAAAACGGATCAACACGCTTAAACACGAAAAAATCATGTCGAGTTCATGTTAATATCAGGTCAACCTGATTTTGATCTGATTAACCCGTATATTTTAAACGAGTTGACATGATTCAGACACGAATTGGACCTAACCCATTGTACATCCGTTTAACTCGTTTATGACAGTATAATTTGCCTATTATGTATGACTGATGTAATTTTAACATTATTACTTATTAATTCTTTTTTCTACTATGATAATTGACAGTATAATTCTTAACATTATTATGACAGTATACTAGTACAGTTCTTACTTTAATTTTTGAGTTAAAACTTGAATGCATTTTAGTTAATTTCATTGATGAGATATTATATGCTATTTGAAAAAAAATTATTTTAAATTTTGGATGAATAATTGAATGATGTATTTAATGGCAATGAACTGGTGTGAAAACAAGTTATGTGTATTTAACAAGTCTGTGTTATGTGTGCTAAACAAGTTAAACAGATCATATTATATGTGTTAACCTGAAAACGACCTGTTTATTAAACGTGTCAAACAGGTCGGGTTTGAGTAACTCGTTTAATGGTCAGGTCAGGTAGTGCTTACACATCTCGACACGATTATTAAACATGTCAGGTTTGAGTTTTAAGATTTTCGACACAAACTCGAAATCAAACCGACATGAAATGATCCAACCCGACACGTTTAACACCCCTATAGGAACATAATTACCTTATAAACATGGCAACTTAGAATTAGACTAACTGAACTGCATACACATGATCTGCTAGAAAGTCGGCTTACCAATGTGAAAATAAGAACCAATAGTATCAGTGGAAGACTAATTTCCACACAACTACCAGCTTGTGGAAAACCATAGCTGAAAAATGCTAAGCCCACTGCAGTGATGGTAGGGGCAACCACAATTGGGTTTATCAACCTGCACCACATTATTATATTTTCAAGTTAGATCATTTCATGTCCTGTGTCCTTCAGACTTCATCTAAGCAAGACAACATTCAATTGCTTGCGCAGAAAGCTTTGGTGCAAATGAATTGTTCGATTCCAGAACAAGACCATGAGAATGAAAAAGTAAACAGTTTAAGATGCCTATGGTGATTTTTTTAAAATTCATATTGCTAAAAGCCTCTATTGTTAAATAATGAGTGGACACCAGGAGAATTCAATAATTTGTAAAAGTCATATATCGTCGGGTAAATAGCAGGATTAATTTTTGTCAGGAAATACATCAACATAGGGTGAAAGAAAAGATGTGAAAAGGAACCCTTCAAATTACCTTAGGAGAAGGGACATTAAACCACTGAAACCCAAGATGCTTTGGAAAAGTGAACCAACAATTATGGCACCTTGCAATTCCCTCATTATATGCCTAAATTTCTGCATATTAGCAATACGTGTCAATAACCTCTAGAAACCAAATAACAGAGAGAGTGCGGTAAAATTATCTCCTACGCCCATCATGACCCTGATGTTATTCAAGACGCACATTATGAAGAACACTCAGACAAACAAAACAAATGATAAATTCATATTAGTTGTGAACTTCATTAAGTAAAAAAATCCTGGATACATTTTGTTTCAGGGGGGCATTCTAATATTGTTACGCTTTTCCGGCAGACGTTCCAAACTTTAGAATGTTCAACATACTTGATACAAAACTGAGAGTGCCACTCATCAAAAAGAAGCTAAGAGTACCAACTGCTCCTAAAATATAACAGAACTTTATTAACTAATCATACATGCTCAGTAAGATTTCGAAGCTCGCGAGAATTCATTATGACCAAGGCCGGTGCCAAATACACAAATGAGCTCCCTTGAACCAATGGAAGCCGGGTACCAAAATACGAGTGCAGTACAGTGGTAATGCCAGAAACTAATAGCATTGTGGAAATTACTGTGGCAGTATCCTTCTGTCATCAAGAAGAAAAGAAAAGTAATGTTAATATAATGAACTATGTAAATCTTGTACCTTATCCCATTGTAACTGTATAATTCACAAGATAGATGCTTACATCAGTTCCACCCATGGCAGGTACCATGATCAAGGGAATGAAAATAAGCGAACCAGCCAATGATAAATAATGCTGCAGACCATAATATATAAGTGGTACTGCAATTGTAAAACCAAAAGAACAAGATCAATTAAACTACTGATAGATCACGAGTAAATATTTGCTACCAATTAAAAAAAAAACACCAAAATTACTTAAGAATATTAAATAAAGAATTTCTGAGTAATAATTAAGGAAGAGGTGTCCATCAATTCGTTTAGAGCCAACAATTGTTGTTCTGTGCAGCAAGTAAGATTGAGTTCTATCCTTGTAAAGAGCTTATAAAACT